CGACTCCTAGAATGCTTCCATCAACGCTGCCTTCGTACAATCCTAAACATCCACTGGTCAGATTATGTGACCAATACATCTGTTCTAGAACAAGCAGCAGTCACAAGTATTGAGGCCATGTTGCTGAGAACACAGCTGTGCTGGGCAGGGCGCATCTCCAGGATGAAGGACCACCACCTCCCTAAGATCTTGCTTTATAGTGAACTTGCCACCGGCTGCTGCATGAGAGGAGCCTTGAAGAGGAGATAGAAGGACTCCCTGAAACAACATCTCAGCCTTGGCCATATTGATCAACATAACCGGTCTACTCTGGCCTCCAATCAGGAGGTCTGGAGACACCCCATCTATAACGCTGCTGATGCTTTTGAGAATGCCTGCAGGATCACCCTTGAGGAGAAAAGACAACGCAGAAATAATCGTGCCCTGCAGAATGTACCACCTAAGGAGTCTTTCTGCTGTGCCTTTTGCAACTGGACGTGCCTGTCTCATATTGGCCTTTTTAGCCACCAGCGCGCTTGTAGAAAATGTGGGTAGAGCCCTCCCAAAATCTTCGTTCACAAAGCCTAGCCATGATGATGAAGACTTACGGAAGAAGCCCTTCTTCTTCCACGGTTTCCACCCACACACTTTTTCCTTGGTTAGATCTCTGATGCATCCACCTGCACTGGACATGTTCTGGCCTGAAGCTGAACAAGGCTTGACCTGTAGTTTTCAGATATGAGATGGTACATGCTGTGCTGCATGCAGACACAAGCTGAGAACAGGAAGGACTAGACAAGTTGTCTGATCTGGCTATATCAAATACAAGAGCTGGAACTGAGATTTCTGAGAAAGAATGTTACGTCAGATAGAAGCAGGTAAACCAGAAGCAGAGGAGAAGCAACAAGAGTAAAGGCTAGAGCTAGGTCTGCTCATGGAGCACTAGTTGATCTCTAAGGACCCTTTCAACCCAAACTATTCTGTGAGTCTGTGCTCTCCATGTTCTGTTTGTTGCTCTGGTTTTGACCTGAGATGAAAGTCTCTATGCCTAAAGGCAGTTCTATTTGTGTCTCTTGGCAATAGTTGCAGGGCATGATAGTGGACATCAAATAATCCAGCCCACAGCCATCACCCAGTTAAATCTATCAAAACAGTTCACATGCAGAAATCTTTGCAATAGGGATGAACTGGAAATGGCAACTTCTGCATTATAATGAATATTAATTTCAAATTAATAAATAGAATGTTTTCACTGGGAAACTAACTCTGAAATGGTAAACTGTGACTTAATTGCATGAATATTTAAATACATGTCCTTAACTTCCAGTTGAGTAAACATCATGGAACACTATGTACGCTCCGGCGTGTTACACTATGACACTTAGGAGTACACTAAGTGTTAAGATAATAGTCTGCTAAACCTCAGGCTTACCTATAAGCAAGGATGAGGCTTTCCTCATCTTTTTTTTTTAAATTGAGCATGTTTTTGATTTCTCAGAAATGGCCTGTGCACACAGGTAATTACAGTATGGTCAGTAATGACAGCAATGGTCCAAAGAGGGACCCAAATGGGAATAGAAATGCAAACGTTGTGATGCAAGATTTTTGAAAAATGGTCTGAACTCCCAGTTGCCTCTGAGGTCGTCCACAGTTTTGTAAAAAATCCAAAGACTAAAATAGGTTTGCATAAAAATTGTAGTTTCACACAGTTAATGTATTTCTCAAATTAAGAGCATTTTCAGAATATCTGCAATTGGTAGAAAGACTCTCCAATGGAATGATCAGTGTTACCTGTTACCAAGAGCCTTTCCTAAGATAGCTTCCCTTCATACTGCAGCTTTGAGGTTTTCAAAGGTACCTTTTTTCTGAGTAACATCACCTATCAGTTCCGTAGTAACACAGGGAGCCTGTATGAGTCACTCTTTGAATAAACAGGAGAAGGCTGTCAATTTACTTGTGTTCAAGGGGAACACTTTTACAGTGTTTCCACATGAATAGTTTTATATTTGAATTTTTTAACCCAGAGAGAGTAAATTCTGCAACATTGTTCAATTGTCTATAATTCTTCTTTTCATATTAATAAAGTAGATGTACTTGATCACAAGCAACTAAACCAATAAGTTAGCCTGCAAGGCAAGATGAATTGAGGGAGTTTTTATTACTAATTAATTGATTTTTGCTCTAGATGCTCATGCAAAGTAAACAGTGTCATTAAATAAAGATTTGTTTTAAATGCAATCTGCTTGCTACTATCCCTTCTTCAGACAGGAAAGGCTTCAGGGGAGAACTTACTGTGATACTAATAGTACTGAAGAGACAACCTACAAAAAAAACCCCAACCAGCTGTTGTAGACAATGTGGTTTAAATAGAAACTGCCTTGCAGATACAATGCCAATTCTGTGTCATATTTAATTCTGTTTTCCACTTAAGTCCCATCCATTTTCAAAATGAAGAATTTCTTGTGTCAACATTTGTGCCCTACTTTTTTTCCTTGCTGTGCCTCTTAACCCTCTGATTTAGAATTTAACAGCTGCCTATTTTGAATACTACAGATGAAATTTTAAGCTTTACTTCTGCTGTGGCAACTGAATCCCTCTTGCCTTTACCTCTCTGTTCCTAGCTGTATGATTTTGTCAACAGACAGGCTGCTACTTTGTTTAACAGAGGAACATAATTCCTGCCTTTGATAAACATAAGGCAAAAAAAGAATCCTTGGAAAAGCTGGGAGTTGCAAACATCTGAGCTCTTCTTCGTAAAGTTTTGGAAGTAGAGCCATAAATGTACGAGGTTATTTATCATACTGGATTCTCTGTTATTGCTAATATAATTAAATACTATAAGTCTATCCAGATTTATATCAGCATAATAAAAAGCAACATTTCATGCTCACAGTCACTTGCATGCCAGAAAAACAAAAGTTGTCTTTAAATCTGGAAGATAATACTTACATAAGGAGTGCAATATTCACTTTAATTCTAATTTGGGGTCTATGTTTACCAGCCAGGGTAGCAGAAAGTGACTGAAGGAATGGCTTTCAGTGAGCTAGTTTGCATACCTAAATTGCTAAACCAGTTAACAAAATGTGGAAAGAATATGATTTTGATTAAATTTTATTTACTGCCTGAAACTGTACCTGTTTTCCTCTCCCCAAATTGGGAGAAAATAGTACCATACCTAGTTCTTGCACTACAAACTATGAATATGCTACACGGGATGAACGAGATGAGTTACCTTACGTAATTTTTTTTTAAGGTTTTCTTGAGAGCAGAATTGTGAGGGAATGATTTATATTGTCACTCTGCACATTCTTAGACAAAGAAATAAAATCTGTTGTTTAATGCTTGGTTGATTAAAACTACTAGTGGAATGAAGCAAAAGAAAGTTGATCAAACAGTACAGAAATATTAAGGCTTATGAAGAAACCTGACAAGAGGAAGATGCTACACTTCGTGTTCAGAATGAAAATAAAACCAGGGATGCATGAGCAGTCTGCACAGGATGATGGATGAAAGATGCTCTTTGCAGCTCACAGCCTTGTATCTCTTCTATACCATGTTCTGTTTCTCCTTTCGGAGTGCAGTAAAACCCAAACTGTTTCTGTAGGTCTTGCAGGATTTGAACTGATGTACTGAAGCTGAAGGTCCATCTGTTCTAGTGCCTTGTCTCCTACTGGTCTTGGCTTTTCATGCCTAAATTCTGTTACTAAAATAGAGAAGTTTGATAGCTTTCCCTTTCTGGGGAGAAAGTGACTTCTATGCATCAGTTTAAGATTTGAGTGGCAGTGGACATGGAGCGTGTGGTGGAGAATGCCAGTAGAGGTGTAGGGGTCAGTCAAGTCTTGCCGTACTGGTCTCCACCTGGGATGAAAATTTTTGTGTGTCTACAATAGGCTCAAATTACACTTGTAAGACCAACACCTCCCATGCTTAAAAATGAGCTAGGCTCATGGATCTTGTGAGGACAGTCACACTGAACTGCAGTCATTTAGGGTCAAAGATCTGGAAGTAGATGAAAAAGCAACTAGATGCTTGGGGAGATTTTCTATGGCTTTGGTGAATGAAACAGGGGAGTACTGCAGTCACCATCAACAGCTTCCTTACACTTCTCCTAAGATGTGGTCGTCCAGCCTTTGGAACGAGTGGTGGGTGTCCGGAGTCCCAGGGGGGTCCAAGTCGCCTGGTCTGCCTTTTACCTCTCGATCCTCTCCAGATACGCGCCGATGGAACAAGTGCTCCCAGCTCAGCCTCCAGGAAGCCGGGTGGGCGGCTAGGAGGCTGGGTGGGGGGCGAGCTCCTCCGTGCCACCCGCCGCGGGTGCGCGGGAGGGGAGCGCGGTAGGTGTCTCGCGCTTCGCCCCTCCTTCTCCTCCCTCTCTCCGCGGCGCATCCTCCGCCCCCCGCCTCGCCTCTCCCTGGCCACTCGTCGCCTTGCGGGGTGCTGCCGGGGTGAGTGCCAGCAGGCGCCGGGCCCGACCCCCCGGCTCGGGATTGTTCTGAGCGGGGGGCAGTCCCTCGGGCCGCTTCCCGCGCTCGCCGCCGCCCTGCCGTCCCCGCGCCTCGCCTGCTCGGAACGGGTCGGGTCGGTCGCGGTTGGCGGAGGGTCCCGGCGAATGAAGTGCGGGACAGGGGCGCAGGCGGCCGCCGGCCCGGGGGCGGAGGGGGGGTCGGGGGCGCGGGGGCGCTCGGGCGTGGGGGGAGCGGCTCCGCTGCGCGTCGGTGCTGCCGGGACTGAGCTGTGTCTGTGGAGCCGTGCGGGATGCGCGTATGTGGGTATGAATATATAGATATAATTATATCTATATATGTAATATCTGTCTATCTGTCTGTGTCCATCCATCCTTCCATCCATCCTTCCATCCATCCTTCCATCCATCCTTCCATCCATCCATCCGTCTATCCATCCGTCTATCCATCTGTCTATCCATCTATCTATCCATCTATCTATCCATCTATCCATCTCTCTATCCATCTATCTATTTATCTATCTGTCTGTCTGTCTATCTATCTATCTCTCTATATAGATAAATTTCCTGTTGAACGTCCTCGTGTGGGCACGGGGGAGGGAGGAGAAGCCGGGCGCCGTGGCCGCCTTGTGCCGACGGCGTGTCCGCGGGAGCCCGTGGGTGCCCACACGGTAGCGCCGCCCTGCCCTGCTCGGTAGGTGCCCCTCTATGTGTATGTATGGATGTACGTATATGTATGTTTGCACATCTGTATGGGCACGGCGCCCTGCTCTCTCCCTCCCTCCCTCCCTCCCTCCCTCCCTCTGCAGGTGCTTGTGTGCTGTGTGACACACCCCGGTGCCGCACGCCCGCGGTCCCCAGGTGCCCCCGCACCTGTGGTCGCGGTGCTGCCCTGGGTACGGGTTTGGGGACACCCTCGATGGAGGAGTCGGAGGGTCCCGCGGTCTGGGTCCTGCCTCCGCCCCGTCTCTCTGTATAAAGCACCCCTTCGCCATCCCCAGGGTGACAGGTACTGTAGGCAGTTTGGCTGGAGCACAAACACTGCCTTTCTTCACACGCTCGTCACGAGTTAGTAGAAAGCTGCGACAGCCCAGATGCCTTCCTAGACATCCATTCCTCCTACTCAGGCTCTGGCAAAGAAGAAAAGATAACAGGCAGCACTTCTGTCTGTGTGGGTGGAGGACGAGAAAGGAATATTGATAATGTATTTGTTGAAGGGACACTAATTTTTGGTTTTAATTACTATTTTAGTGGTTTCAGAGTAGCGCTGTGCTGCATAGCTGCCACGGAACTCACTCGGTGGCTTTAGTTCAGTGCTTTTAAAACCCTGCGTTCTTCCTTCTGCTTTTTAGTAAAATCTTTTCTCGGTCCTGATGCATGCAAGGAACCCAGTCAGGAAAGCTCAGTTTCCAGAAGAGGGACGTGGACTGTGTGCAAAATGCTGAACAACTGGAAAAGCAGCATTTTCTATTTGCTCCAGTCCTTCTGGGTTGTAATGGCAATTTCCTACAACAAGTGAACATTTGTCATTCAGGAGGGATTTTGGTTAATGTGGTTTGTTTTGCAGGTTGGTCTGTTTGTTTGGGGATTTTTAAGTTGCTGGTGGTTTTTTAAGTTGTTTTTTTTTTTTCTGAATTAGAGGTGGAGTATCATTAAATGCAGGGCTAAATCTTGCGATTAGCACATGAACGGAACCATCCTTTGGAAGGAATGATGCCTTGTTAGACAAGGAAGGGACTCAGATCAGTGAATCCATCTTCCAACCAGTACTGCATTATTGGCAACCTCTCTTAGGATTCTCTGGAAACAGGATATCTCTTTCCTATAGCTACATAATATAGACATATAAATAATATAATTTTTAAGTAATTGTGTTCCCATTCAGTTGGAATAATTTTTTCCCCTTTCTGGGATAAAAGACTTAAAAAAATCTTATTGAAAGTGTACTGTCTTTTTTTTTTTTTCTCTAGAGCTGTGTGAAGAAAGTCTTCAGCCATGGATGTGTTCATGAAAGGACTTTCCAAGGCAAAGGAGGGAGTCGTAGCAGCAGCAGAAAAAACCAAGCAGGGTGTGGCAGAGGCGGCAGGAAAGACGAAAGAGGGAGTCCTCTATGTGGGTAGGTGGGCAGCGGAGACCACAACGCTGGTTGGTGTACACAGACATTCACTGCTGGATCCTCATCAGACCTAGTATTCTGAAAAAAAACCGAACCCTAATCACTCATAGGAGACCATTGCAAAACAAACAAGAGGAGAGTTGTGCCTCCTGAGCTCCAGTTCTTTAATGTTAGTTCTTATGTCACGTGCTGGCCATGTGTCACTGCTCTGTGGAGCCACATCTGTAACACCAGACTGAATGAGGTGCCTTGCAGTACAGGTCACTGGCTGGTTATTCTATTCAAGAAGTTGGTACAGTAAAAATAAATTAAAAAAAATATAAAAGCTGAAGTGGAAGGTAATATGACAGCATTCTATAGAATGTGGAGTTTAAATAGGATTTTAAGAGAAGACAATTGAGAGGTTAATTCAGGAATTGAGGATTAGACAGGCTGACTGATTGGCATGTTGACAGTAATGTTTTGTATGGCAAAGTGTCATGTCCTCATCGTTTGACGTTAACTTCATATTTTGTACTTAGTATTGCAAATTCCTAGCATTTCCATGACTTCTCCAAGAAGAACAGCTACAGTTAATGGAGTAGGGTAGGTAGACCCCAAGGTAGCAAAGCAGTTATTAAGTGTCGTTCTAGGACATGAAAGTCTTGCATAGAGGCAGGGATAAAATTCTTTTCAAATCCTAGATTGGTACTTTTATGCATGATAGTCATCTTTATTTTAGCAAGTATTGGGCTTTAGAGGACTGTCTTGCAAATGCTGCCATGAAAAATTCACAGAAAAATAACCTACCAAGACTATAGGAGTAAGTGGTTATTTTTAAAAAAAGTAATTATGGATCTGTTTCTCTTATTTTTCAAATAAAGTTAGTGCGTAATATAAAGGAGGGGAAAACATAGCCTTTTCTGTAGGTCCTTTCTATTTTGCTGATTTTGTAGCAGTTCAGCTCTGTAATGGATGCTGTGTGTGCCAAGGGAGATGTGCACACATAGCAGAGAGAAGTTAAACAGAGCTGAAAACCGGAGGCATTTTTTTTCAATGGGAGCACTGAGATTGCTGCAATTCCAGTGTCTTTTTAGGATTCCCTCCACCCTTGCAGGCTAGTGCCAGTTTGTGAGAAATTATTTCTGCTCCAGATAGTGTGGACTACTCATTTGGAATATACTTCTCGCATGTTGAGCCATAGCAAAGCTCAGTGCTCTTGCCAACAGGGATGGCAATTATTTTGAACACTAATTGTAAGATGAGTCTATTTTAAAATGAGCATCTGCTCATTTTCAAGATACCAAAACAGATGTTCTCTCACTGTAAATTGTGCTTGATGTTGGAGTCATTTTTCAGGGGCGAGGCTTTCTTTTATTTTGTTTTCTTGTGGTGCTGACCATGCTTCTGGGGTCATTGATTTCTTTGTATTGGAAACCTCCATTGTGTGCTGAATTAATCTTTGTGTTTGACCTGTTCTCCAAACCGTAATAATATTTGAACCTAGTTCTGCTCCCAAAGGCAACAGATTTCCTGTTGACTTCAGAGACGCTTTTGCTGAGGTTGAACTTTGGAGGGCAGGCTTGCTATTTTTTTTCAAGAATAAATGACTGAGGACAGCAGAACCCTGAGCCATGATAGGGACTTGTGCATGTGACTGTAGTAATGGTGGATGATCGTTCTCGTGCCAGATGCCTCCTTTTCAGAAGGAAGGAGCTGTATGCACACTTTGTTGTGCAGGTAAAAAAGCCTTTGGTTGGAAGCTGTCTCCAGGAGCTCTGGCAGCCCATGTACAGTTGTGTGCTTGTCCATACCTGCAGGGTGTTTCAACAGGATCACGTAGGGTCAGGGGTAAATTGGGAGCTGGGTGTTTCTCTGTCTACTTCCCAGGCACACAGGAGAGGTGGCTCTTCTCCTGTGCAGCGTTAGCAAAGGCCATTGTGATAATCTCTGGTTCTGTAGGCTGGTAATGGTTTCAGTGCAAAAGGTGGTGAAACCCCTTTAAGAGCAGAGGAGAGGAGCAGCACAATGCGGCAGACCTCCTGAAGATTTCCCCCTCCCTTTATCGTTGGGTTTTCAGGTTTGAGTTTCATAGCCAGATTATACTGTGAAAGCTGCCTGACATCTTGTAAAAAAGAACCTAACAGCACTGGGCTAAGAGGGACGTGTTGATGGTTTTTAGTTTCATAACATTCAGCCTTCAGTTACTGCTGGAGAATTAAGAAGATGCAAAGTCTTTGGTCCAGATCCCCTAGATGATATGGTCTCTCACTTGAATGAGTGGAATTGAAGTAAATATGGAAAACATCTGGACCTTCCTATTCAGGCTGCTGTTAACTATTATGTGAAAGATCATAACATAATTCTACCTGGTAAAGGATTAACTGGGGATCTGTTTTTTCCCTGTCTCTTTTTCCTTCCCTCAATCCACTGTCTTTATCCTCTTTTAAAGTACTCAAGATACTTTTCAATACAGTCTACAATGTGTTTTTATACTTTCATGTATTGTTTTTTGAGGTTTCTTTCCTGCCAAATTCCTCAGCTGATGGGCTTCATCATTGACCAGCTGAAATCAGTGGCTCTGTCTTGACTCATACAAGTGCAGCATCAGAACCTTTCTTGATGTTAAGCAAGGGCCTGATCATTGTTTAGAAAGGATGACTGAGGCTCAGCAGTCCTGTGCTGCTTGCGTTTGCTGTAAGTTTAAAACTGGGTCTCTCTGTATCCTTCAAGAGCTGTTGGTGTGAAGCAGTGAGGAAGTGAGTGGCAATACCCCCACTTGCTTTGAAACCAGGAACTGAGAGTAAGAAGGATGCATTTGCATACTCTTGGTGATTTAGTGTTCCAGATGTCCACTGAGCTTTTTGTGTGCTACCAGTGAGCTGAAGATTTTGCTCAATTGACTCTTCAGTGCATGTTCAATGCTCAGAAATGGAAGTTTCCAGTCCATTTTTGGTGTGTCATACACTAGCACAACAAAGGAATAATTCATCAGCTGCAGGGTTGCTAACAGATGAGTTGTTTACTACTCCCTGTGCTGGCACATGGCCGTAGAGTAGAACAGTGCAGTCATGACCTATTTGGCAAGACCATCCAAATTCCTCTGCTGCACTCTCTTTTCATGAGGTTTCTTGTTTTCCTTTGATGGTAGAAAAGCCAGCAGAGTAGTTGAGGGACTCAAGACCTGTGTGGTGGAATAATGGGCTTCAGGACTTGGAAGCAACCATTTTCCTTAGATGTTAATTTCTCCTTCCCCTAATTTGGGCTTCTGTCTACCTGTCTTTAGCCAACTCTGATTAAGTAAGGTGAATAGTCTGTTGGTCTCTCAAATAGTCCAGAAATGAGTGTATTTCCAAACTGCTGATACACTCCTTCTTTTTGGCATAATGATAGTGATGATAATAAATTATGAAGAGAGTCTATGGTATTTTTTATAATTGCAAAAAGGCAGAAATTCTGTTTTGGCTTCTCCCTCGCCTCACACAAGTGTGTACTATAGCTAGGAAAAAAAGCATTACCATGTACTACTATTGCTTCTAAGTAGTTTAGGTCAGAGTTAGGTTTCTTGGTCTTTATATTATCCCTACTCTGATTCCTCTTGTTTTGCAGGATACCACAAACAAGACTATTGATGTTTTGGGAATGAAAGACAGCTAATTTCTCTCAAATACAATGTGGACAACCAGCTTTCCTTCATTGCCAGCCAGAAGTCACCCTACTGAATTAAGCTGTTGTTATTTATAGGCCTGTTCTGGCAGCTCCTAATGTACTTCTAGATGCTGTTGTAGCTGGGATGGCAGAAACAGCTACTTGCATGCAAAAATGTGCAGTAGTGGGGCAAGTAGTATTGAGCTCTAACATATGCTGTAAGATCTGGAACACCAAATAGCTGGTTGTTTGCCAATTAATGGATTTGGCTATACATATCCCTGCTCTGTATGTGTCTATGAGCCGAGTTTTCATTAAAGAAAAGCCTCTCTTCCACTAACAGAGAATGCAGAGCATTTCTTTACGAGTTGTGGTTATAGCAGTGTTACGTCAGGGCAAGTGAAGTAAGAATCAGCTTACATAGATCCCTCTGGAGCTGTATGCATTGCAGAGGTCCTCAGGGAGTTCTGTCATACCATCCATCTCTTACTGGCCTCAGGGAACCGAGTGCTTGATAATTCACAGGTTTCCATGTCTTTAATAGCTCGGCTTGCAGACTGCAAATTCAACAAGATGAATGAGATACTGACCAGGTTTAACAATGCATTTAAAAGCATATGCTTAATATTAGGCATTCCAATAGACACTGTAAGCCTGCAATGGTGTTTAATCTCTTTCTAGAAGTCAGTAGAACCGTCATAGGCTTGAATTCCAGCATGCGTTCACAGTGCCCTGCTTTTTCAGGTCTCACGGTACCACAAGATTGAGAACCAAAGTCCTAAAACAAATCTTTAGATCTTAACACCTTGTATTTAATGAAATTTATGATTCTTCATTGGTAAATATTTTCAGTGAGAGAAAACAACCTTTTTTTTTAAAGAGAAAACTAAAATAAAGGGAGAAAATACTTCTCAGCTGTTTAACCTCATCATTAGCTAGCTGAAGGAACATGTCATTTTACTTGATGCAGTATTTTTTCCCTTTTATTTGTTGTGGATTATTATTCTGCTGTTGCTCATGGCTAACAGAGCCATTTCAATGCCGTAATCAATCTAATAGTGTCATGAATAGATGGCTAAAGTTCCATAAATTGGCACTAGTAGCCAGTAGGACATGTTGATGAATGAACTTATATTTTATTTCAATGTTTAATTGTATTATTATAACAATAAGTTTCTTTCTTCTAATATTTTTCTGCTCGTGCATTTTCCTCTAGTATATTTCTACTTGTATCAGTTTGTATATGATTTTTATAGGCTTAAGATAAAATTGTATCTATGTTAGAAGTGTAAAGTCAGAAGTATAAATTATAATGTCTCAAATACTGAATGACAGAGACAAAAAGTTGCATTACAAATAAGGTAATTCTGTGTTGCTAATAAAGAAAAGTCATCCTATCTCTGGCAGACTAAGTAAGATGATTAACTAGGAGCCATAAACTCTGTCATTGTAATACTTAATTGCACATTGTTAAGTGTCATAGTCCACAGATGGATACTAATCCCTGAAATGTAGCCAAATTCTAAAACCTGACAAGGACAAGTAGAGGTCTGGTAGGGAAAAAGGCGTGGAGGTAGATTTTGAACAGCAGTATGTGCTAATTTGTTTCTCCTGTTGAAAACACCAGCAATTCTTCCCTTTGATGCATCATGGTAAAGAGTTACGATCTTTTTTACATATCTGTTCCAAAAATCGGTTTGGTCTTCAGGATGACAGTTACATTGCTTTCACAGGTCTTGTGTTATGACTCAATCTAGTACAAGTTCTAGGTTGCTGCCTGCAAATCATATATGAGCTGTCACATGTGCCTGTGACAACAAGGACACCAGATGCAAAAGACCTGGAGTTTGATTTCAGTGGCTTTTTCATATTTAAATCCTATCTACCATTTAAGGTTTCTCTTTTGTATTAATTTATGTCTAAATCTGGCTAGCACTACCAGCTCCCCATGATTTTAACCTCTAGGTCTTTCTGTAGTTCAGTAGTGGTTGTCAACCCCTGCGAATTGAGATCTGGCCAAGTGTTGTAAAATGAAATTGTAAGGATCTTCTGGGAACTGTGGCTCTGATCTTCTCCAAATGCATGCAAGAGCCTCCTTAGGATGTCAACATTAACATGGTTTCTGTGCAGGGTCATCCATGTGAGTTTGCAAACTGAGAGGCTTAGTACGGCTGTTAGGAAAATGGCAAGGAAATGAGTATGTACAAGAAATAAACTGCAGAAGTGTTTCCACTGTTACTCACCTTTCCACAGTCAATATATATCCATGCAGTTGTTCTTTATTGATGGTTTTACCTCTTCCCTTAGATTAAATTCCTCTTTAATTTCTTTTAATAACCTTAGAAAATACTGCATGCAACTGTATGTAATCTGTATATTAATCCCTCTTTATCATCTGCCTAGTCTTTACCAGTACTTAAGAATATGCGCTTTCAACCGAATACTGTTCTTTTTTTAGGTTCCAGGACCAAAGAGGGAGTTGTTCATGGTGTCACAACAGGTAAGACAATTATCTCTCAATTTCAACCTCTTCTCTACATTTGATTAGTCAACCATTTAGCTGTTAAAAATTCTTTTTGAGAGCACTACAATTTACAAAAAATAGAAAAACATAGGAAAATTGAGAGAGCTGGTTGGGTGGGATGACTAAAGAGAAATGGCTTATAGGAAAGAAACAAATTTCAGAGCTTTGATCAAATGATTTGAATTTGTCACAGTTATGAGTGTTTTGAGATGCTTTTTAGAACTGCCTAATCTCTCAGTAGCAAGAGTACTTTCAGACTTTGGAATTAATGCCAGACATGTATGTTCACAGTAGAATTTCTACACTAAAAAAGGAGTAAATTTGCATTTTAAATTGATTTGCAGGAATCGTTTTAGGTATGAACTGAAACCAGTAACAAATAATTTGTTTTAAGGGGCAAAATGAATGGAAGTCTTTGATATCTACAGAGTGCAGGAAAGCCTTAGCTGACCATAGTGCACTGAATAGAATGTGTAATTTTCTGCTGTAGAATATGAGGCTTCTGGAGATGTGAAGAAAATGCATGCTCAAGAATATTAATTTGTTTTTCCCCAAAGAAATGAGAAAACAAATAAGGTAGTAGAAAAGGATTTTTGTTCTTAGTGTACAGCCAATGTATCATTCACGTGTGCTCGCATAAGCCAGTGCCAAAGATAAACAATGGTACATAAAAATGTCAGTACTTAATATCACAGCCCATATAAACGATTGAAAAGTCAGTCAAGAGTATTTCTAGTAACAAAACTGAAGAGAACATCTATGATAGTCCTTCAGAGTTGAGCCTCTGGCTAAGCATGCGTGCTGTTGTTATGAGATTTGAAACCTCAGCCTGTTAGACCTCAATTAAGAGAAATAGTCAAAGGGATCATTACTGTAACCAGTAGAGGATTGCAGTAGAATGAGATTTGAGGCACATATATCTAATATCATCACAGATGTGGGAACAACAACTGACAACAGTTGCAAGCAAGTTAATAGAGGTGATGTACACCAAGCTGGGCTGTGGTAGAATCCAAGTCAAGGGCATTTGCACATGGATGAAACGTGCTGAAGCAATAGGACTCAAGTAGACTAGCTCAGTGGGAGACTTCTTTCCCATCTCCCAGAAGAAACTACTGATCTCAAACACTGTATCTTTCTTTATCTGACTGCAGTATGTGTAGTGAGACAGGAAATTTTAAGTAAATGAACAGAATTTTTGACAGGTTTGAAAAGATGGTAAATTTTATTCTGGAAGGAACAAAACAGACTGTAAAGCCAAACATAGGGAGAACTCATCTGTTACGTGCTGTGCCTATGAACAGAAAATTTGGAAAAGTTACTGTCAATTTTAGGCAAAACAGTGATTGTTCCTCATGCGCTTTATGAAATGGGTGTCACAAAGTGAAACACTGAAAGCTTGGGAGTAATGGGGTTTGTGCCACAGTTTGCTTCCTTCTGGCCTGTTCAACTGTTTGAGATGAGTTTGGCTGTTGAATGGAAATGGAAAATGAATAGGGGTTGAATTTCAGGTTGAAATATGACTGTGAGGAGACTTCAGGCAGAATCTAGAGAGCACGGTATCCAAAATGAAACAGTATGGACTTGGTACTATAAGAACGGAGAAATTTCTTGGGTCATATTTTAAGAATAAAAACTAATTGTAAGTCTATAAAGAGTTGTTCTGGCCAGCAGAGAAGGTAGATGAAAACAGTTTTGGGTTCAGTGTAGTCATGCTAGGAGGTATAACATGAAGACACTGAGAAATGCCAGTGAAGTTGCTGTAGAAATCAAATCCCTTTAAATCAATGCAATTAAGGTTGATATAACAAAACTGCCCTTTAAGACACTTGTAAAGACCTACTTGTCTCTTTTCATAGGACTGGGAGTTCACAAATTCTGGTCATCTTAGCATATTAGCTCCCCAGTGCATCAGGGGAAATAAATATTTTATTATGTAAATAAAAAAGGTTTGAGAGGTTGGAGACAGTCAAATCCAAACTAGAATCACAGATCAAAACAAGTGTGTTCACAATTGTGCAGTTAGTCCTTTCTTACTGTCTGAGTTCCAAAATCTTGCTAGTTTAGCTATTTTTGAATAGTTAGTGGTTTAAAACCCTGTGCTGGTGAGATAACTGTGAGCTGACACACCTCAAAGTGCTATAAAACTAAATACACTCTTTGGTCAATTACTTTCCAAACCCAGACATTCTTGACTGAAGTGTTTCTTGCTTTAAATGTGACCTGATTGTACCAGGTTTAGTGGCATAAAGACACTGTGAAATGAGGATCCTAGGCTGTGCTTCACAGGAATATGGTGAGAGTGTTATTTGTGAAGTCACCCTTTCTCAGAACTTCTGAAGATGAAGCAGCTTTGCTTATTGGTTTTATGGGGTGTTTGCTTGTGTTTAGAATTGCCTTCCTAATTAACATGTCTACTGGCCTTTGACTATAAATGCATAATTCATCTACCTTGCTTATCTCCCAGGGATAAATGTCCAGAAATGAACAGTATTAAAGATAAAATATTTACAGTTCATCTCCTGATATTCAAAATAAAGCACTATTTGTAAATAGATCAGGGAGAAAAAGCCCTTGGTTCTTCAACCATGTGTCTGTTTCCTGAAAGTGAGTGAAGACACAATATCAAGTTATGAACCACAGTCAAGCGTTTTGCTGAATTATTTTATCCAATCATTCTTGTTTTTCTTAACACAGTTAACACATTCCTGCTGTGTTTATTTTAACTCCATCAGGTATCTTACAGAAAAATTGCATAAATTAAAGGACCACCAATGTATTTATGGCATCTTTGCAAATGAATTCTTCAAGTATCTGAAATAGATATTCAAAAATATATTTAGTGCAGTAAGAAGAAATTCAGAGAAATCCTGTAGTTTTCATCTACTTTTATTGTTCAAAGTTGAAAGCAACTAGTTATCATTTTGAATTAAGCCAAAGGTTTCACAATGATATTGTATGTTACCCAGGTGCCTATAATAAGTAGGGGAAAGAAAACTTCAATGCTAATATTTTTTGTACCGTGCTGTAGTACGTATTTGAACTTCAAATTCAAAGTTAGCCTCGAGATGGTCGTTGTACATCGTCCCAGGGTCATTTAATGGAATGGACAGTCTCTGCATAGACAGAAGTAATCAGGCCAGAGCACAGCAGAGCTCTGCAGAAGCTGATTTACCCTGTTTCTCAACACTGGGATGCAAAGCATGTATCAATTCTACAAAGACTTAAGGGCTTAAGATCATTAAACAACCTGGTATTCAGATTAATTTAATTACTTGGAATCAACCCCCTACATTCTGAACTGATTTGTTTGTGCATAGTTAATGCTTTCCCCTGCTTACTACTTAATGAAGGCAATAAAATATGTGAGACTGGAAACCTATTTTGGTTTTTCTTCTCCTGTCACTGGGGTTTCAGAGCTGGATGGTCACCAGGCTGGAGCTAATTATCAGAGTCACTCTGGTGACTTCGATGATGTTTGGGTGCTCTGATTTCTGAGGGGGTGTATGAGAGATCTTTCATGGTAACTCCCGTGTCAGCTTTCTCATGCTATGTCTGTGTGTGGGTTTTGGCTGGGGTAGAGTTACTTTTCTTCATAGTGGCTGGTATGGGGCTGGTTTGGATTTGTGCTGGAAACAGTGATAGTGTTGATAACACGGGGATGTTTTAGTTACTGTTGAGCAGTGCTTACACAGTGTCAAGGCTTTTTCTGCTTTTCACCTCACCCCACCACCAGGGTGGGGTGCACGAGGAGCTGGGAAGAGACACAGCCAGGACAGCTGGCCCCAATTGACAAGAGGGATATTCTACACTGTGTGGCATCATGCTCAACAATAAAACTAGGGGTAAGGTTGGTGGGGGGCAGCTGCTCCGGGTCTGGCTGAGCATTAGTTGCTTGGTGGTGAGCAATTGTTTTAATTTGCATCATTTGTGTTTCTTGGGCTTCATCTCTCTTTCTCTCTGTTATTTTCCTTTTTATTACAATTTGTTCAAGTTATATTATTTCAATTAAACTGTACTTATCTCAGCCCACAAGTTTTCTTACTTTTACCCTTTCAATTCTCTTTTCCCCTGTCCTGCTGGGAGTGGCAGTGAATGAGCAGCTGTGTGGTGCTTAGTTGCCAGCTGGGGTTAAATCACAAAACAGTCTGAAATAGAAGCAATCTTAAATATACCTCTTTTGTTACTACTTTTATCAACATCTTATTGTTGTGCCATTAAGGGTGTTAGTGGCCTGATTCCTTTTGATTTTACTTTGCATGTACTAAGCCTTTCCTAGGATAATATGTTTCTGAGAGGAGAAAACAGACTTCAGGCAGAGCTTTTCCAAAACATTCTAATAGTAGGAACAGCAGCCACTGGATAGTTGTGCTTGGTAGGTGGTTGTACTTGCCAGGACAGCATAGAAACATGGCTTTAATAATGGCATCAGGAATTAGGTGTTTTCTACTGAAGCATCCAGAGTGCTCTCAATTCCACTCTGTTTCTTGGTATTTTGCTTTTGAGGTGCAGTTTTTTTAATAGCTTCAGATAATGAAACTAATTATGACCTGACAAGGAACACAGTGCAACCATACTTTTATCATTTTATCGGAAGAGGCGAGTCTGCTTAAGGGCAACTGTGCATGTGATCCTTTGTCAGCATTGAGCCTGCTGAATTTGTCCTTTATGTGTTCTGCCATTCAACATGTTTTGGAAAAGAGAGTTTTCAAACCAGTGTATGTCACTTGCATAGAAAACAAAATGAACAGAACGAAAGGACCTAGATTTATAGAATCATGGAATGTCTCATAGACTGGTTTGGTTTGGAAGGGACCTTAAAGATCATTTAGTTCCAACCCTCTGCTGTGGGCAGGGACACCTTCCACTAGACCAGGTTGTTCATAACTCCATCCAATCTGGCCTTGAACATTTCCAGAGATGGGGTATCCACAACTTCTCTAAGCAACCTGTTCCAGTGCCTCACCACTTTCACAGAAAAGAATTTCTTCCTTATGTCTAATCTGAACTTTCTCTTTCAGTTTGAAGCCACTCCCTCTTGTTCTATCACTGCATGCCCTTGTAAAAAGTCCCTCTCCATCTTTCTTGTAGGCTCCCTTTAGGTGCTGGAATGCTCCTACAAGGTCTTCCTAGAGCCTTCTCTTTTCCAAGCTGAACAATTCCAATTTTCCCAGCCTTTCCTGCTCCATCCCTCTGATCATCTTTGTGGCCCTCCTCTGGACTCTGTCCAACAGGTCTATGTCCTTCCTGTGTCAGAGCCCTAGGGATGGACACAGCACTCCATGTGGGATATCACAAGAGGGGCGGAATCACCTCCCTTGACCTACTGGTTACGCTTTTGATGCAGCCCAGGATGTCTCCCAAAAAATGAATGAGACAGAGGAAAATTGAAAAGCAATACTGATATGTACCCAAAGCACATCTTTTTTTTTTTTTTTTTTTTTTTTAATATATATTTTTTTTTTTTTTGAGAATAGAATTTTTAAATCTACTTCTGCAAGATGCCACTCTAACATCTCTGTTTGAGGTTTCTTTTTGCTATTTGAATTAATATTGGAAGCAATAGAGAGTTTCTATCTCATAATGTTTCTCAGCTTGTTTCTGCAAGACTCCATGTACAATCAGGTCTTAACATTCTTTGCAAGATACACTGTGTCACTAGGACACACTTTAAGATACGTGTTTACAAAAACTAGTTACGTGTAGAATCCAGAGCTTTTTGTAGTCTGTAGCTGGTAATAATCAAGCGGGGCATCTTAACAAATGTCTTTTTGCACTTACTAGCATTAAGTCAAACCTTCCCTGAGGGCAACATTTGCTTTACAGCAAAAACCACTTTTGATTTTTTTTTTTTTCTGGAAAAAACATGGCAGTAGAGTAGTGGATGTATGCAATAAAATTTCTTGAGAAGTTTTTAATCTCATTAGCATGTATGGTTATGGAACAGACTTTCTCTGTTACTAGTTTCAGACGATGTTGCCGTCCTGCTCTGTAATGAAGTCTCCTGGCCATAGCAGAGATAATACTCATTTGGTTCCTAACTTTTCCCTTTCACTTAGAGTGAGCATTAAATTATCGGCATCCTTTTTCAGTCAGCAGATATTTATTATTTGGGTCTTTAATAAAAATTGTATTGTTTACCTTTCTAGCTTTTTCCTAATTGTTGTTTTTAATGTCAATCATGGCAGTGTATTCTGCCTGCCCTGCGATATGGATGGCTGATACTCTTTATGCAAGAAATTAAAGAAATGTAATTTATCCACAGAAAGTCTAATTTTTTTGCATGTACTTCCCCAAAAAAAGACTCAAAAAGGGTGGCCTAACTGCCAAGCAGAATCCATCCTGTGCTCAAAAAGGATGCAAATAAAGCTATGAATACATTTTATGGATCAGAGGGAATTTATCTTGGAGGAAAATATAGCATTAGTTAGAATTGCAAAAATATATGGGTGTTTTTGAAGAACAGTCCCTTGTTTAGATGAGTAAATGTGTTTTTTGCTGAAAATCTGGCTGCATAACTTTAAGGCATGAAGTCATTCCATTCCTTTTCTTAGTTCAAGCTGCTGTCAGAAAGAGCCCTTGGGAATGAATGAGCAGAAAGAATCCAGTGATATTCTGAAAGGTAGAATGGCAACTGCTGATGTATATGTAGGCAAAATGAGTTATTGTTTCCCTGGGGCTTGGAAGTTAGCTATTAATCCCGTTTGCTTTGGCATCTTTGGCATTCAATCTTTTTGTAGATTACTATTTTATGTATCAGCATCAGGGTAAAAATCTCTAGAGAGTCTGATAAAAGGTTGTATTTGAAATTCTCTGGTTGAGCATTGGTAGATCTGCTTTTTAATTAAATATATTCTAAAAAATGAAAATAAAAAGAATAATCAGTGCTTTTGAACCTAATGAAAGAAATCTTGTCTTCCACGCCCTGTACCATGTAGCAAGTGTTTGGTGGACTAACTGGAATGGATTATCAAACTGGCATATATAACACAGTGAGTTGAACATAATAAGGGCCCTTAAATAATGACTTTTCTTCCCTAAAGTACAACTAGACATGAATGAAAATGTCAAATATCTTTCACATGAAAGATATTGAGCCAAAAATAAGGGTTATTTTTACCTCTACTGCTCCAGTGTTATCAGTTGGATAGTTGAATTTCTTAAGATCCACTTGGGGTACAGAAAATGTAATGGCCTTATGGCTTTTCATGATGTTGGACTGCCAGTGATAAATAAAATTCTCTGAAAACCTTACAGCTCCCAGAGTCCTAATGTGTTTTTCCATCATCTGTTTCTCCTCAGTGGCTGAGAAGACCAAAGAGCAAGTGTCCAATGTTGGGGGAGCTGTGGTGACAGGAGTGACAGCGGTGGCCCAGAAGACAGTGGAAGGAGCAGGGAACATCGCTGCAGCCACTGGCTTGGTGAAGAAGGATCAGTTGGCCAAACAGGTTTGTTTATTTACAGTCTTTTCCAGGTGAAGAAGTGAGCAATGAGTGGTCTCCGTGAACTGAGGGGCAGGTGGAGTGTTTTCTTTTCTGTCTGCCAGTGGATCATTTGTGTTACGCTAAACAAATGAACAGCAAAAAAAATGTCTGCTGTTTATAGCTTGTAGTTTGAGTGATTTGAAGAATTTGGGAACTTGAATAGAATTAGGCATGAAACTTTACTATTCTGAAATGTCTTAGCAAATTTGTATCATGGTTTAAAGTGTGATCTAGTGATGATTCTGAACTCGGCAGCCTCTAGCGGAGGCCAACCACTGTAGAATAACTGTTTAGTTAAATGAAAAGGTAACTGTTTTTCCCAATAACTCAGGATTAAAAAGCAACCTGCTAGTACTGAAAGGTCAAACAGCAAATCTCAGGTTTAACAGCACAATTTGTGTCCACTGTAGCTGAAGATTGGTACAATTTGGTATACCAATCCACTGACTGGTTAGACATATTACATCTAAAGTCAAGATCTAGCTGGAGAGTCTCTATCTTCCATTAATACAGCGACACTATCTCAAAAATGCCTCCAAGTATTCTGAGCTCTTCAGATTAAATTTTCTCTAGCTCATCCTGTAAAGCATTCTGTAGGTGTTTTTATTCCAGCACCAAGGTGAACATAAGTATTTGCACAATATGAAGTGTTACTACATTTTTGTTGCTGATACACTGTGATTATGTTCTTCCACTTACACTAGGTGAAAAGTGACCCCAACTGGTGGGAGCAATGATTTCCAAAACGTGTACAGTGTTGTTTGGAGGCAAAAATAACCCAGAAGAGACAAATACCTCCCTTTGTGCTGTTTTCTGTATGAACATTTAAGACTTAGAAAAAATAGGATTAGGAAGAATATTTAGTATTTGCATAAAGATACTGTGTCACAGATTTAGCATGAAGTTCTATTGTGCATGTTATTTCCAGTTGGCATCCAGAGAAGCTGTTAAAATTGAATCCTTAAAAACTTTTAGTTTTTTCCTTGTCTATTATTGAAGTGTATTCCTATGTGTCTGACAAATCCTATTGGTGCTTTAGTATGGGGAGCAAAAAGGGATATTACATTGTAGTAGGCATTCATTTCATTGTGGTGGATTGTTCTTTTAAACATCTCACAAGCAGTTTTATTCTCTTTCAAAGCAGTTTTCCTGGGGTTTTTTTTAGTAATTTTTTATTCAGCTTTGGGCGAAATGTTGCTTTTTATGTGGTCATGGTCCTTTGTAAAAGCTATGTGGAAGATTTGCAAAATTGAGTATCCAATGAACTGCCAGGGGATACATGAGTATGGCATGGCCACAGTAGTCTATGCCTGTAGTTCCTGCTAAAGCTCTTCTGTAGTTTTACACAGAGAATACTCATTTCTGTTCATAGCTCTTCAAACTCAGTGTAATAAGGATCATCACTGTAGTAATGCACTATTACCTACTTTAGTATTGAGCATAACTAATATTTTTTATGTCAATATACATATAGAGATCCTTATAAAGTATAAAGCAAGTGTCTTCTGATTTTCATTTAAATATGTTCTGTATATTGTTAAGCTTAAATATAAGTCGTGATGGCTCTAACAGAATAAAATCACATCTGTGAAATGAAAGAACATCCAGAATGTACATGCATATTATTCCACTGCCCTATAAATAGCAACATTATTCTGAACTGGTGCTTTGTTCTTTAGATATGTAAAACCATTCATTTGATTCTTGATACCGGTATTTTTAGACTGAGATTCTCAGTCATCTCTACAGTATGGCCATGTAGCTGATTAGTATCTGCGGCTCCTAGTGGTCTGCCTTAGGTCTCTGTCTCTTTCTGGTTTTGCAAGGGATGAGTGATCATTAATATCAAAATTGAATCATGTGGTTTTGCATTCCTGTGCAGCTCAGAGGCATGAGATAGACTTATGCTTGGCTTTTCCAGGTAAAGTGACAGTTGGGTAGGCCAGTTGAGGGCATCCAGAATACCAGTGGGACACAGGTCTCTTGTAGGAAACAGAGTCTTTCTGAAATAACAGAAGGTGTCAAACAAGCATTCAATCAAAGTATCATTGTAACTTTGTGTTTTATCTCTGTAAGGTTATGTGACTTAAGGCCATGATATATCTAGTCTACTCTAAACTAGGAATAAGACCATGATTAGCAATAGCAAATTCATTCCCTGAACTTCAGTGTGGCCAGCCAAATGCTTTTGGAAGGTTATTCTTCCTAGGGACATCTACTTGGAGTTTATAAACTCCATATAAAGCAAATGGCTGGGTATATCATGTGCAGGATGAACACTTTGCTTGCTTACACAGGGTAAGCCATTTGATTGAACAGGGAATTGCAAATGCGGCATACCATTGAAAGCAGATAGAACCATAATTGCAGACTGTTTTTCCACAGAAGGCATTAGCCAATAATTTGTTATTTTTAGTTAGCTTCTAAACTTGTGACAAATTATTTCTTCCGATTCACATGAACCCACGTAATCTAATCCAAATCCTCCAACTGAATGTAATAAATAGTGATCTCCTGAGGTCCCTTCCAATCTGAGTTATTCTGTGAACTGCTGTAAACTCAACCTCCATGCAAGTGAAGAGGTTTGCATATTTGTTATCAATTACAGAATCAAGGACTGTGAAATAAATACAGAATCATAGAACATCTCAAGTTGAAAGGGACTCCTAAATTATCATCAAGTCCAGCTCCCTGCTCCTTGTAGGGATTAGCTGCTTCAAAACATGTTTCTGGAAGCCCCTTGAACTGATGTCATTGCTGGGATCTGCTACTAGTTGATCTGCTTGCCTGTGTGAAAGCTTGCAGTCTTGTGTGGTGACTGGCATTTTTCTTGTGCCATGATGGAAGTCTGGTTTTGACTTTCAACCAGTTGAAAACACTTGTAATTTTCTTTACCCATGGATACAACATTGCTTACGCAAAGGAAATACTAATCAACTTCTTGGAAAAATCCTTTCTTGAGAAGTTTGTCCAAGCTTACCTAGTGCAGCCTTTAATATTGGAGTGCTTTGGAGCATGAAGCAGAGACTTAACCATCCGACTGAGGCCAGGCTGGAGGGCTGCTGTCACACCACACTGTCACGTACCTGCCCCGCAGCTGGTGTAAGCAGGCAGTGCAGAGTGACAGCTGAGAACAGTGAGAGACAGGGATGACTCGACAGTGCCCATCTGAGGGCTGCCCAGGGGATTTCTGCTGTGGCACAGACTCACTGCTTAACACAGCAAGGGCAGTGGCGGTTAGTAGGATTGAATTAATTATAAAAGGGCTAGTGTACTGCTAGCAGTATTTTAATAAACAACAAAGCATTTATTCTGTGCCTGTACATGTTTTATTTCTGTGTACAGCGTGAATGTGCTTCTAAATTACTGGAGTTAAAAAAAAAAAAAAGGAAAATTATTGATGATTGCATTTAATGTAGAGATGAACATGGTTTTTTACTGAGTTAAGAAAGCTGTAAAATCCAAAGGATTTTACAGTCTGAGTATTCTGTTTTCAGCTCAGCATGAATGTATGGACCCAAATAGGCTGGAGGGGTACTGTAGTGTATAATACTGCCTGAGAACAAAACACAGATTACAAAGTTTATTGTTTTCAAATAGGTAATTAACAAATTAAAGTTCTTGACCTCACTAAATTCATGTAATTTGGTTCCCTAACATCTAAAGAATAAAACAGTTGGTAAGTTCTATGATTTCTATGGTGAATAATTTTATTTATACTAGCACCAAAATCCCCAGTCAAGCTCAAACCTCACAGTTCTCTGCCTACCATGTCAGTATATAGTCAGATAGATTTCATGTGCTGTAGATTTACTAAAGTAAATAGAATAGCAGACCTTGTCCTTAGCATATTTGGGATCTATATGATCTGTATAGGTTGTGTTTGATATCTATATGTGCTAAATCCTTTTTCTTTTTAGTGTCTCTTAATTTAACACGTTTATGGTAAATACCACTGTGAACACAAACATAAAACTACAGTAGCAGGTAATGTAGGTAGGTAATATACTTACAGAGCAGGTAATATAACTCATTGGTTTAATTACAAAGCTTTCAGAGAAACAGACTTTTAAGTGTCAAGATTGCCAATTTAAGCATTAAGCATTCTGTAGGGAATATTACTTAACTAAGAGCCCTGGCTAATTGCATTTTATGTGAAAATTAATACAGAAGAATGAAAGCAATGTCAAGTTTGCAGTTTCTCCCCCTCCCCGCCCCCATGCATTTCCTGGCACTCCTTACAATTTGAACACTGTCATAGCATAAACATTCAGTGCAGTAGATCCCAGGCATAGAGTATTTCTTGTGTTATTAATTTTCTTGCCCAGAACAGCTACTCTTATGAACGACCAAAACTTTCCATGCACCATTAACCATTGTTTAGAGCCAGTGTGAATCCAGTCTGGGGAATCACCATAATCAAATATACAAATATGTAGGAGCCTTCTTCATCCTTTTTACAGGGAAGCTCCATGAGAATAAGGACATGATGAAATGCCCTTTAATTTTGATGAGAGGAGAGCAACTCCCTTTTGATTAAGATACCAAGCATCATAGTGTACTCCAGCCAGCTATTATTTGTTCATTTGGGAAATCTTATTAGTAGAAGGAAAGCAAACCCTGCAAGTGTCTCTGAAAATTTGTCTTTCAGTGGTAGAATGAAGGTTTCTTTTTGTATTAAACACTGGGGTTTTTTAAGTGCAAGTGAAACCTCTTCTTTCAAAGATTTCTGTTTTGTCTTATTGCAGACTAAGATTCCCGTGTTCCCAAAGAAGTTTCGATTACCTCCCGTGTTCCCAAAGAAGTTTTGATTACCACCTGTAGTTTAAAAACCCAAAAAGTTGAATATGGAATCTTTAAAGTTTTGCACTTTATATTTTGAATTTTAGATCAGTTTAGAAACCCTTCTGTAGAAGTCTTATGGAGAAATAACCACAAACTTAGGATTGGCATTTGACTTTTAC